GCCGCCAGCCCGGGCACGGCGGGCTGCGGGAGCCCAGGGCTGGCTCACGGGGACCTCAGCGCTGCGGAGCACCCGGCAGGTTCCTCACCCGTGGGTGCTCGCTGCGTTTTGGGGGGGGAAAAGAGTTTTCTTTTTTTCCTCCTGGTGAGTTCTTGCGCTGCAGGGCCAGGCGTGAGGGTGAGGACGTTCATCGCCTCCGCTGCAGCCCCTCGGTGCAGGGGGGTAATTCGCCGTTAAAGCACTGGTTTGGGGGGGGTTATCTTGTGAAAGAAGGTGGGTTTTATTTCCTTGGAGAGCAAAAGCCCCCTGTCCAGCTCCGCTCCTCGCAGGTGCACAATCGCAGCCTGCACCCCACCCCTCAGCTCCCGTCTTTGAGTGGGAGCTTTGTTGCTTATTTGGGGTCCATGGAGGGGGGGTGGGGGGGGGATAAAAGAGCAGGTTTGACATGTTGTGGTTTGGAAAGCGAGTGACGGGGGCTGAGCTGGTACCGTGGGCTTACAGCTCGTCAGTGAGCAGCTTTCCTGCGGCGCTTGCTGCCCTGGCGAGGGGGGCCCCGGGCGTGCGTGGGGCTCTTCGTGTCCCCGCACGGATGCTGCTGCCACCTCGGCCATCGTCCCCCTCCATCCTAAAGGGACACAGTCACTACCATGTGAGAAGAGCTTTCCGGTTGTTATTTTTCCTGTCTGTTCTTTGTACTACCCCTTTCGGAGTCTGAAAATAAACAACTGAACGACCGAAAAAAAAGGAAAAAGTGCTTTTTCTCTGGATCCTGCTCAGCACAGCGGGTGGCTGGGGGGAGGATGGGTGTGCTCTCCCCTGGGTGGAGATGCCCCAGCTCCAGCAAGGGGGTCGTTAAGGAATTTTTGGTGTCCCCAAGGACTGATCCTGCCCCTCTTTATCGGTGCCATCCTTCCCTGGAGAGCTGGGGAAGGCCCAGCCTGGCTGAGGGATGCTACATGGGGGTCTCAGCTGTTTTTCCAGCCCGGGGGTTGTTTATCCTGATGCTTTTATTTATTTTTTTTTCCCCTGACTGTGTATCTTTGGGAGGGGGCTCCCCAGGGGGCACCTGGGTGGGTGGCGGAGGCATTTGTACCCCTTGGCTGAGGGTGTAGAGGGAGCAGAGAGTGGGGTCTGCCCGTCCCTCTCTTCCCCCCCCTCCGCAATCCTGGGAGGATAAACCAGATTTGGTTAAAATTCTTCCTCTCTGGTCCATCGGGTGGTACCTGGATAAACCAGATGTGGTTAAAATTCCTCCTCTCCGGTCCATCAGGTGGTACCTAAAGCACCATTCCTCAATGTCTCTTTTCCCACCTGCAGCAGCTGTTCCCGGCCACGGTGGCCGTGCGGCCGCTCATCCAGGTCTCCGGTTTTACACCACCCCCAGGACCTCTCATAGCCAGCAGAGCATCGCTGTGGGTGCTGCGGGACCCAGGTGCTCTGCAAAGAATTGTCTTTTTTTTGTTGTTGTTCTTGCAGGCAGGGCAGGAAAGTCCCTTGTGGGAGCCCAAGCCGCGTTTTCCATGGGGAACAAACCTCCGCAGAAAAAAAAAACACCAACTTGCTTTGCAGTTTTGGGGCTTTCCCCCTATTTTTAAGCAGATTTTTGGCTTATTTCTCTTTGGTGCTTTTTTTTCCCCCTTGGAAGAGAAATTAAACTCGGGCAGGTGATGAGATGCTGTTGAGGGATTTAAAGGCAAACTGGGAGGATTTTGTACCGAAGGCGTCGAAACCTTCGCGCTGCTGGTGAGCGCCGGGTGCGCGGTGTCCAAATGCCCCCTAGTGGCACCGGGCAGCGGGTGGGGAGTGGGGCGGTGGGGGGTTTTGGGGTGCCTGTGGTGGGCTGGGCAAGGCTGGAGGTCCGGTGGGGTCACTGGGGGCACTGGGCTCATCTGGTTTTGCAACAGGAATTTTGTACCGAAGGCGTCGAAACCTTCGCGCTGCTGGTGAGCGCCGGGTGCGCGGTGTCCAAATGCCCCCTAGTGGCACCGGGCAGCGGGTGGGGAGTGGGGCGGTGGGGGGTTTTGGGGTGCCTGTGGTGGGCTGGGCAAGGCTGGAGGTCCGGTGGGGTCACTGGGGGCACTGGGCTCATCTGGTTTTGCAACAGGAGAGAGTCCATGGGCAGCCTTCGGCGGGGAATATGAGCAGCGAAACCTTTGGTGGTGTCGAGAGCGAGAGCTGCGGTGGGCAGGGTGTGAATCCCGTCACCCGCAGGGACCTGGGGACGTGGGACGAGGGTCGGAGCAGAGCGGTGGTCCGTAGGGAAGCCCTCAGCATCGCCCGGAGCTGGGGATGCTGCCTTTCCCCTGCATGGGCTCCCCCTGCACCACTCACACAAAACAGCCCCAAAATCCTGCTTTTCTGCCACCGAGAAGACATTTTCAGGTGGAAAAAGGCACATTCAGGAAGAGTAATCCTAAATGAGGTCGGGCAGAATCCCTCTGCCCACGCCAGGCTGAAGTGAGTGGCCCTGCTGTGCTGGGGATCCCACCCGGTGTAGGGGAACCCTGCACCCCCAAAAGGCACCCGGGGTCCAACTGACCCCCTGTGCCCCCCTGCGCTCCCACAGGGCCCCCTTTTCCTGGGATTACCGCCCTGCCAGCTGCTCTCCCAGCGGGCCTGGCCGGCAGCCCCTGAAATCCTATTACCGAGTTTCAGGAGAAATAAAAAGTTAATCATCTCCTTCTCCTGCTCTTCTTCCTCCTCCTCCTCCTCCTCCTCCTGCCGCAGGGGCTCACGGAGGCGGCTGAGCCGATGCGTGAGGCCGCTCGGAGCGTTGCGGCCGTGGCTGAGCCCATGGATCCAGCCCGGGGCTGGTAGGGGCTGCAGTGCCGGGGGGTCAGCGGCTGGTGCTGGGGAGGGGGGAAGGAGGGCAGGGCAGGGTGGAGGGAGCCCTCCCGCTCGACGCCGGGCTGGGAGCCATGCCGC